ATTCATAAAGATCGGGGTCGGTCACCCGGTATTTCGATATCGATATTTGTCCAACAGAGTAAGCGTTGAATTTAATTTATGGTTGTGATCTTTGGCGGCATCATGAATGGTTGTGTTTCGTTCAAAGTAGACTAAAAAAACGTATCCTGTTGATAAGTTATAATACTGGGAACGCAAAAATGCAAGCTATGAGTTTGCATTTCAGCTTCGTGGACAGGAAGTTCAGCCATATCTGAATAGGTGGGTCCGACAATTTATTTAAAATGAAAACTGACTAATGACTTTTATGAAAAGAAGATTTAAGTCTTGAGTAGAAAGGGTTATGGAAAAATTCGGGAATATTAAACAAAGATCAGACCAATCAGGGGGCGGTAAAAGGGAGGAGTGTTAGCGACAGTTTTTCGGTGGCGATCGGACGACTGAAAGAGTCTTTTAATTGGGACGGTGGCGGTCGGACAACTGAGGGAGTCAGTTCTAAAAGTTAAACGGTTTAGTTAGATTTCCAAAAGACCGGCACTCGTGAGTTCGGCACGAACTCTACAGCTTTTTTGGATCTGCCTTAATATTCAAAATTTGATGCGGAGAAATCTGCATCTGGTGACTGCCACTGCTAAATTGATAATAATAATAGATAAAACCATATATGAATAGAATACACATATATGGTCGGGTATTACACCATCCAGGTGTTTGACAAAGCCTAAAGCGACTCCAATGACAGGTTCTAATCCGATGAAGCTAAGCTGCTTAGAGCGCCCTCCTTTGCAAAGCAGTCAGCAGCCTCATTGCCTTCCAGGCCAGTATGGCCAGGAATCCAGACCAGAGACAATCTGTTAAGTCTCTCTATCAAGAAGAGTTATTTTTGGCAATTTGCTACCAATTTAGACGTTGCTCGAAAGGAGCCAAGAGCTTCCAACGCCGCTTGACTGTCCGAGAATATTCTTATTGACTAGTATATGAGGTTGGATTCTTATAATCTCTCCGCACACAATTCAATAGCGCAAATTTCCGTTTTAGTATGGCAAAATGTTATATTTTATTCTTAGCAGTTCTTCGATGTCACCTATTCTGTTCAATACATTTTCTGAAAACTCTTCATGAGGTCAGATCCCACGCGGTTAGCAAAAATCCCGTTGAAATGTCACACAAATTCTTGTTTTCATATGCTTTCTGTTTGTAACAACAATAAGATAACCCTTCGATATCGCTATACCACAGAGATAAAAATCCATGATTTTAGGTCTGGCAATCTCAACGGCTCCTCTCGTACTTCTTCAAAAACAAATGTAACTGTGGAATGGCACTGTTTTTTGGGGAAATCAGGTAAATTACGATTATTATTTATTATTTGGTTTCGTTTTCGGCAAGAAATTCTGTTCAGGATCTCGCAAAACTAATAATATTATAAAAAATCCCCCTCTATTGGATTGGTATAAATTATCAAGTAATAAAAATTCTATGTTTGAACCAAATCTGAGTCAGATGTCACTAGTATCTAACCTAC